AGTTGATAATGTTTTAAGAATTCATTTTCTAACCAAATTTATTTTGGAAATTATTTAATCAGCTAAACCCATGCTTGTATTATGTCTTTAATACTACCCTCCCTACCCAAGTGCAATCAAAAAAGAAACTGGAGAAAAAAGCCAGTCTCCCCATTTCTGTATCTTAGATAATGCCTAACACAGAACCCGGTCCCCGTTGTTTAGTTAAATGGATCACGTGTTTTGTGCAGTGGTTTTTTTAAAATGACTCAGTAAAGGAAGAAAGTGAGTTCTGCCTACTCTGCCCACATGATTGAAATGCAGTCCGCAAGACACTTATCACACAAAGAACCCACCCAAGAAGAGTTCTATTAAAATATGAATCCATTGTGGTAGGCTGAAAAGCATGTGATTATGCATCTTGATAAACCCTAAAATAAGATCATGGAAAATAAGTAATAATAAGTCTGTAATCCAATGTTCCACATCAAGTGAAGACAGTGTCTTCCCTTCATGAACTCACTGGAAGCCTTTATATTAATTAATATACTTAGAATAGCCCACTCGATCCTGTCACTTTGTTCATGAATGCAGAAGTCAATTTTTTTTTCCCTAAAAGGTAGGCATTAAACAAATCTATTGCATTCCTCTTTTTCTCCTGGCTTTTAAAAAATATTACTTTTTTTCTAATTAAATTTATTGGGGTGACCTTGGTTTCTCCTGACTTTTTAAAGAAAGTGATTTCATGGAAGTTTAGGCCGCAAATGACTCAGACTCTAGTGAAGGTTATTTGGGCAACATTGATTGTGGAAGTTAGGAAATGCTGCCTTTGCAAATGAAATACAAAGAAGGTCAGAACTATATGAAGAAGTTTCTCCAAGGGAATGCTCCTTGTCCTACATGACCACAGACACTGCGTCTATAAATTCACCTCAGTGAAATTGCATCCATAGCACCAAAAACCGACCCTGGAGCCAAACTGAGACTTGAGGGAATAAGCAAAGGCTTACAATGCATTTCTCTGAGAATGTACCAGGCCTGCAAAGAAATGCTTTAGCCACTAGTCCTCAGGAGGGCTTCATTCCCAAAGAATCACTACACTGATTCTCCAAGAAAGGGATGCAAAAGTCAGCTCTTCTCCCTGACCTCCATATTGGGAGCAACGAAGAGAAGACTGGAAAGCCCTAAAGATGAAAGACCCGGAGGCAGTGCTGTGCAGTGGTTAAGAACAAACACTGCAGTCTGATTCCCAGCCTTTCCATTTGCCGCTGCCCCAGTTTTCTCATCTGTAAATGAGGGTGCTCATATTTGCTCATTTGGATTAAATGAGATTTGGATTAATGAAATGCTTGACATACAGTCAATGAATGTTAGACATGATGGCGATGATGATGATGATGATGATGGTGATGAATTGATGATTTTGATGATGATGATGGTTTATGATGATGATGATGATGATGAGATGGTATACATTATTCCACGTACTCCTCCCCCAAAGGAAAGAGATTCATGGTGGAGCTATTCTTGTGTCAGGAAAACCATCAGGCTTGAACAACCTAGAAAGGAAAGGAGTCCCTGTGACTGAATTTCTAATTCTTTTTCTAGAACACTGCTCTGAAATTTCACATAACTCTTTTAAAACTTTAAAAATCTACTGATCCACTTAAATAGAATTGAGAAGAAGTCTAGGGAGATTCTGGGTTTGGCTCCACAGAAATTTTAAAGATAGACTAACTGGAGAATCAAGATATATGAGAACGAGCAATAATGATTTTTAAGAACATAAAGTTTAGCTTTTAAAATAGTTTCCTTTCAAGGTGTTATGAGCTTTAAAAGTTGCTAGGGTATTATAATATCATTATTTAATCTATGGTACTCTGGAAAGAATGCAGTCCATGAAAAAGAATACTTGGATTTTGATCGCAGGAAACTTTGAGCTTGTGTGAATGAATTTTTATTATTACTTTTTAAAATATATTTTATTGATTTTTTACAGAGAGGAAGGGAGAGGGATAGAGAGTTAGAAACATCCATCAGCTGCTTCCTGCATACCCCCTACTGAGGATATGCCTGCAACCAAGGTACATGCCCTTGACCGGAATCGAACCCGGGACCCTTCAGTCTGCAGGCCAATGCTCTATCCACTGAGCCAAACCAGTCAGGGCGAATTTTTATTATTTTTTTTAAAATCCATTCACACAAGCTCAATGTTTCCTGAAGGCAAGAAACACTTCTTTTATCCCAAGTGAAACCAGGACATACTTAAAACTCACTCAGTGAAAGCTTTTGTCTGACTTTTTCCAGAAACATGTAGGTGTGATTCTCCTGGTCACATCATAGTGTTATTGTCATTTGAGAGAGACATTTAATTCCCCCACCCTCACCCCCTAAAAATAGTAAATAATTCAAACTGAGTTAACTTGCAAATTTTAAAAATCGGCTTTAATTCTATTTGGTTGTTAGTTGTTATTCTCTAAGATATTTAGTATACCCCTTGTGCTGAGCATACACAGCAAAAAGGGCTCTGATGTGATTTTAGGGTTTCACTCCTCACAGCTTCTACCTCCAAATCTAGAAATTTCTCCTTCCTACAAAGAGCACAATCAGTTGACACCTACTCTCCCTTTATAAGCTAATTTACCATGATGTAGAAAGGTTTTAATAGAAGGAAAGGAAATGTCCAGCACATTATTGGAAATAAGCAATAGAAAAGTCAGATCCCCCTTATGAGCATTTCCTTAATGCAAAGCCCAGGCCCCCAGGAAAGGCCTTGCCACACCGTCCTTTCTGCCGGCTGGCTGGTGACTCAGGCTTCCCAGCCAGGTCTCCAGGGGCAGGATCACTTCTGAGAAAAATACTACAATCGTGTTTGTAGTCCTGCCTTCTGTTCGGAACTTTCTTGGTGTACATCCAAGAACAGAATCATGGAAATGTAGAGCTAGAAATTGTTTTGGAGACGACAGATTAGAAAAAAGTGAAATCTAGAAAAAGGACTTATTTACTCAAGCCCAAACACCTAACAAATATTAGGACTGGAGCCCTATCCAATGGTCTCCATTCCTTCTAAGCCCACTTGCTGCTTTGAAGAACTTAGAATTCATCATTTCACAGAAACTCTTTGCTTTATCTTTCTGTTATTAATAGAAGTGGAGCTGTATAGGCAGAAGATAAATATGCAGTGACTCAGTCATTAAAATAATACTATTTGCTGGGTTTTAAGCATGTTATGATTCATTAATGCTACCAACGTTTTTGAAATTTCACTGTTATCAGGCATAGTTCTACACGTGAAGATACAGAAAGAAAGAAAGAAAAAAGCCCTTGTCCCAACTTGCCAGCGAATGGGGAGGCTGACATAAAACAGACAAGGGTGATGCTGTGTGATCCTAGCTGTGATCGCGTGGGGTGCGACCTCTATGGCCACATGAAGGAGGGGGCTTAACTGTGGGGTAAGAAAGAGAAGGATCCCCCTAACAGGTAATGCCAGAACTGCATCTTGAAAGAAGGGACTAAGGAAAAAGGCATTAAAAGGAGAAAGAAGAGTATTGCTAGTCAGGGAGCTGTGACAGCACATGGCAGATTTGGGTACAAAAGTGCTTCCACATGACTGCATCCCAGGCTAAGTGAGGCCGAGGACAGGCGGATCAGGTCATGATGAGCTTTGTATATCATGCTAAAATGTTTGTATTTTACCAGAAAATAATGGGAAGGCATTGATACATTATATGCTGTAAAATAATATGACTCAAGTTATACTATAAAGCAAATAGTTTTTTTTTCTGTTCCTTAATATCAGATACTTTGGTAAAACATCTGAGAGTAGACTGTGACAAAATTGCCAGGATCTACTTCCAATTGTCGAGTTGACAGAAATCTCAATTTCCTCATCTGTAAAATGGGGATCATTATAGAGTTGTTAAAGCCTGTTAAGCATGGATTACAGTGTCTGGCATATTGTAGAGACTTAGTAACTGTAAGCCGGCATTGTCTTCATTGTGTTCATCATCATTATAACAGACTGAATTGGAGAAAATGGAGGAGAATGCTAAGGGCTAATTTTTACATCTAAAGTTAAGAGTAATTTTCCAGTTCTGCTGCATCTACATTGTTTAGGGTAACATAGGGTCAGAGAGTACTCTGTGGGAGGCATGGCTGGGAAAAGGCATTGGTTAGCAGATTGCACGTATTGTGTACTTGGGGGGAACTTTTCTGCTGATTCTGTTGTCCAAGAGAATGTAAGATAAGAAAACATGCCCTGACTAGTTTGGCTCAGTGGATGGAGCGTCAGCCTGCGGACTGAAGGAGACAGCTGATCAATGTTCTCGCTCATCGATGTTTCTAGCTCTCTATCCCTCTCTCTTCCTCTCTGTAAAAAATCAATAAAATATATTTAAAAAAAGAAAACAGGAGTTTCCGCCATTGAGAGCAGTATCTGAGCAGAGTAGAGGCTTGGTTTGTTAGTTAAAGAAGGAAAAAGAAAATATTAATGTCCATAGAAAGAAATGGGAGATAAAATTAACTTTTTCTTTTTGCTTCCCTTCGTTGATTGACAGGCTCTCAAAAAGAGAGAGTATGCTTTTAGTTTGCTATTAGATTGTATCTAGTTGTTTATAATATATCCTTATACTGTAAGGACTGAAGGTTAGGTTTTCCTGTATTTTTGTTACTAGCATATTTTCTGTAATTGGGCCAAATTTGAAATTTGTAGCAGGTCCTCATTTCATTCAGTGTTGTTTCAGTGTAACGTTGATGCTATGTCCAAGGAACTTCACTCTTGTTTATATCAGTCAACCTGTGGTGAAATTGGTTTTGTTATTTGGTTTGGTCACAGTTTCAAGAACCTATCATTGACATTAAGCAAGGACTTACTCTAGGTTAGCAATTTAAATTTGGCTGTATTAAAAATAAGGTAGGTTACAAATAGATTTAGTATCTGCATGCCATCTCTATAAAAAATGGACTATATTTCAATATTTCATAGAATAATAGGTTTACTTTTTGTTGTTTTGTTTTGTTAGTGCTCCTATATCCCTCCCTGTAAGAGAGAAAATCAGAAGAACTTGGAAAGTGTCATGAATTGGCAACAGTACTGGAAAGATGAGATTGGTTCCCAGCCATTTACTTGCTATTTTAATCAATTTCAGAGGTAAGCCAATATTTACATGTACCTATTAAACTTGTTTATAGCCTTTTGTAGCTTTACACTATGACGTATTACATTAATTAATCATAGACTGTGCTAACTTGAAAAATATACAACATGGAGATTGTCTCAATTCTTTCCAGCATGTAGGTAGGGAAGACCCTTCTTACTCTATAGGATGGAGGCATGCAAAGAATCTGCAAGCAAAAAAAAAGAGAGAGAGAGGAGAGAGAGAGAGCGCTTGTATCTTAGAGTGCACCATCTGGGTACACTGAGAACGTGCCTTAGGTAGGATCATTGTATACTAGCTAAGGTGTTGGTTTATTAACCTCTTGGACTGCTTCAAATATCATTTTCCCTTTTACTTTTTATTCTGATGAATAAAATGAGTTCATACCATTAAAACTTTGTTTGACTTAGATCTCAAGCTATACCATATAATAATGTTTCCTTGGATTAGAACACTTCAGTACCCACACAGATCCATCATGGTAATCTATTCACCAGACATTATTGAGTATTTACAACACTTGCTGGACATCTCCACTTGTGTGTTTTACAGTTATGTCAAACTTTCTTTTCCTCTGATGGTCCCTCTCTTGGAGAATGGCACTACCATCCACTCGTTTACCTAGTCCAGAAACCTTTGAGTGATTCTTAATCCACTTTTCTTTTGTATACTTTATGAATAGGTGCTGATTGTACCTCTGTGACATCTGTTCTGTGCCTTCCCTGTGCCACTGACTTAGTTTTTCATATTATTTCTCAGCTCCATTAATGTAATAGTCTTCTTTTTTATTTTTATTGAATTTATTGGGGTGACCCTGGTTAACAAAATTATGCAGGGTTCAGGTGCACAATTCCACAATATATCATCTGTACACTGTATTGTGTTTTTACCACCCCAAGTCAAGTTTCCTTCCATCACCATTTATCCCCCTCTATCCTTCTCCACCTCCCCTCTTCCACCTCCCCCATCTCCACCCTGCCCCCACTGCATACCATTTTGCATGCAGCTGCTAAGGTGATCTTTCTAAAACCTGAGACTAATCGGTTACACCTCATAGTTTTTGAGTCAAATCCAAATATCTTGGCATGGCCTATGTATCAGGTACCTATTTCTGTGTAATAAACTACCCTAAATCTAACAGCTTACTACAGCGATTCATTATCTCTTCTGATTTTGTGAGTTGGCTGGGAGGTTCATCTGTTGGTCTCTCCTGGGCTCATGTGCAGTCAGATGATGGCTAGAATAGCTGTGTGGTCCATAAGGTCCTCTTCTCTCACCTGGTGCTGGCTCAGATGAAGCACCTGTTCTCCACCTGGCCTCTCATTCTCTAATAGGCTAGATCCCCTTCCTTTTGGCATGGCAGCCTCAGGGCAGCATTTCAAGAGAGCCAGGCCTTTGCTTTGGAACTCACATAACATTACTTCTGATATGTTTTGTTGGTCAAAGGGAGTCATTATATAGCCCAGGTTCATGGGGTATTGAAATAGACTGAAAGCTGCAAAGGTGGTGTAGCTATATTTAATCTACAATGGCACACAGACCTCTCACCCTAGGCTACCACCTCTCCAGCCTTATCTCCATACTCACACTCTTTGTAATAGACTTTCTGAACAATGTGCAGTTCCAGGAATATCTGATACTTTTATATCCATGCCCCTTTATTTGCTTCTTCTGCTTCTTGACGCCTTGCTGAAGACTCCTCAGATATCACCTTCTCTGGGCTGCTTTGCTTGATCAGCAGGTTTCATTTAGTTGTATATCAGTCAGGATGCCATCTGCTGCAGATAAATATAAAACTGTGGCTCAAAGTGCCAAAACCAATTGGGAAATTTATTACTTCGTACATTAAGAAATGCATGAGTGGGCTGACATTAAGGTTGTTTGATGCAGTGACTTACAGTGCCATCAAGAACCCCGTTCTTCTAGAGCTCAGTTCTGCCTCAGGTGGCTCCCTGATGACCACAGTATGGCTGCTGTGGTTCCAGATGTCACAGCCAGACACAGCAGTGATCAACATCAGAAAGAGCCTATCTCTCCTGACATTGTTTTATTTTCACAGCTTCCCAAAGCCAGCATCCCCTCAGGTGTTTTGGTTTATAAGAGTTCCTTTGCCTATACACCTAAACTAATCACAAAAAGAACGGAATCTACCTCTGAACGGGGGATAGGCAATGCGTCCTAAGGTGCACGGAGGAAGGGTATACACCTGAATAGATTTGGGAAGGAAGAAGACAGGGGATGGAATTTGTGGAACAACCAAAAGTACCAGCTATTATAAGGTGTGTCTTCCATGTTCTGTGTACAGCTGTGACCCTCGCTTTCTATAACTATACCAGAGGACCTTTAAAAATAAAATGCGCTGCAGATCAATTAAGTTAGAACCTCTGGTGGGTGAATGTAGACATTACTATTCTTAAAAAATTAACTCCAGAAATTCTGATATATGAGAAATGTATTATATTATATACTAGTTATTACTATGTATCTCATATATATCTATTATGAGATTCTAATACATGTACATTCTGATATACAAGCTATATATTAATCATTAATATATCTTATATATTATATAAAATATATCTATATGTTTACATTAGACATATATACACATAATATTTGAGATATGTTAATATATTTATAAATATATCTAATAAACCAAGGCTTGACAATATATGGTACATTGAGTATATAATGAGTGGTGAATTTTTAAGCTGGAGAAGTAGCTTGGGGTTAGATTTCTAAAGAATCATACACACCATTCTAAGGAGATTGCCATACAAGCAATGGAAATTTGTAAAAAGTTGTGTTTTCTTTAAACCAAAGACTGGCATTACTAGATCTCTGACTTAAACAGTAACTGGTATGAGTGCTGAATGTGTGTTGAAGGGAAAAATAGTGAAAGGCAGGTTACTCTGACTCAGTGATGGGGAAGTGAGGAGAGTACTGATCGGAAAAAATAATATTTTTGAGTGGCTATGATGTGCCAATGATTGCGAATAACATCTTGTTTAGATCACCACATTTCTTATAGTCGTTCTCAGCACTAGCCCTATTTAATAGATGAGGAAACTGAGTCCTAAAGGAGTTAAATAACTTGCCCAGTGCACACAGCTATTAAGTGGAATCCAGTTAGTCTGATCCCAAAGCTCCTCCTCTCAACCATCTGCAGTGGAGCTTATGTGAGAGCAATGAAAGTGGAAGGCTCTAACAGGGCATATGTCAGGCAAGACATTTAGTTACAGTCAGTAGAACTGAATGACAATGTAAGTGATGAGGAAAAAGAAGGTATCAAATTTGACTGAGTTTGAGAAAAAGCTGGTCCAGCTCTGACTATGCCGAAGTTGAGGGACTCATAAGATACCCAGAAGATGCTTGAAGGAGTTGGAAATACAAACCTTTCATCCAGGAGCAAGAGGTCAGGACCAGTGTTATACAGATCTGGGAATTGGTGGTGCACAAGCATCCTGGTCGAAGCACAGAGAAGGAATGCGCACTGGGAGTACATAGAGAAGAGAAATATGACAGAATCTGGGGATCATCTACATTTAAGGTATAGGTAGGAGGAGATGGAGAAAACAGTCAGATGGTGAGAGGAAAGTAAAAAAAGAATACCGTAGTATCTTGGCAAACTTTTCAGGTTTTAAGGAGAAAGGGGCAATCCAGAAGGACTCCTGAGAAGTCATCAGTTTGGGCAAGTGGAAGTCTCCTAGCAATCATTGTGAGGACAGTCCTAGGACACTGGCTTAGAAATCATCTATAGCCTCTGCAGATGAGGATGTGAAGGCATTAGTAAGTGCAGGGGACTCATTCAAGAAGCTTTCCATGACTGGAAGGAGTGTGGGGAGGAGGTGAGTAATTGAGAGGGAAGGAGGAATGGATGCAGAGCAGTGAGCCTGCTAAATACTAAAACTGCTGAGAAGGACACATTGACTATAGGTAGTAATTGAGACAAAAGTGGAAGAAAAGGAGACAGGATGAGATAAATAGTTTAAGAAGTAGGGATACTCTTTTCTGTGAGGCCGAAGCCAGGGAACGAGCGTAGGCACCAGCAGGCAGGAGGGGAGCTGGATATCGAGCCCAGGACTATCTGGATTGGGTGATCCTTATGCTTCCAGGCCCAACCCGGGGCCATGTTCAGAATGTGGGTGAGCTTGCGCTTGCAATTGGAAGCAAACAGAGCACCCCTTCTCGTGGGCTGTCCTGACTAACCGGTCTCGGTCCCCTAATAAACTCCCCACACTCCCCACTCAGGCACAGAGCTCTCTAAATGTTGCCTCCCCCAAGGGTTGCCTCTTATGAGGGCACAGAGTCTGAATTCCTCAGTCCCCAATCAGGGCTGTTCCTGTGGAATAATGGGGACCATCTGAAAAGAGCTAACCCTCATCCTATACCAATTCTGTTAACTTCAGTAATAGAAAGTTAAGCCCGTTGTACCTCCCTCAGAATGGATGCTCATTCCCTCTCCCTCATCTCACTGTCTCCCCCCCAAACTGTTGGGGTGTAGATAGACGTGGGGGTGTCTGTCACAACCCAGCAGCACCCGAGACATGAGTTTAAGTGACTCCGGGAAAACAGAAGATTGGAGTTTGGCTCTTTTACCACGCCATATGCGAGAGGAAACAGGAGTGCTGGTTGGAGGTGGGAACATGGCAGCTCTTAGTACACTTTTTACTACTGCTAAGTATGAGATAAAGATAGGCTTACTGTAGAGACTCCCAGCTGCTCTTGATAAGATGAACTTTACATTTAAAGTAACCTTTACATTTCACTCACATGCAGGAAATAGGGAGAGTAGTTATCAGGAAATTTCCATTTTTAAGTAAAGGGTGTTATTTTAAAAATTGAAGACAGATTATTTGGAGTCTTAGCTTTGCACTGTGTAAGCCTCATTTCGGAGAGCTATCCTCAGGAGTGGAATCTGCAGTGGCCAGAGCAGCCACCAACAGCCATGCCTGTGTGGGAAGCCAGTCCCCACGTGGTCACCCTGCTC